GGCTGTAAAGATTGTGGAGAGCAGTAGGGGAGACCTGAGCGTGAAAATATTTCATATCAGAACTGGTTACGTCCATCCATAAAATTAGTGAAAACACAGACACCTCGCAGTTACATTTCATGGGCTAATGAATACATTCAAGGGCAGAAAGGATTGTGCTGAGCATTTACTCTGACCTCCTGCACCGTATCAGTCTATGCTATTTGATAAGAGTTTAGCTCCCAGCTTTCATTAGGGGATAGTAGGTCATTAGGGTAGGCTGAACCGTGCTTTGTCCAAACTTAGACGGGAGACCCCCAAGAACATGCTAGAGCTGAAGGAGTTGGGATGAGGCCCCTGCTTTCTCTTCCTTCTGCATTATACTGAGCTGTAATTGGAGGCACGGCGTGGTGGTATCGTAGTCTTGAAACGGCTTGTGTTTGTTCACGGTTTTGACAGTTGTTGAACTTTTTGGAGGGGTGAGGGAGGAACAGGTTTGTAGGATCCAAACAACACATAGGATACATGTCTGGGAACTGCCTGTGGTGGGTACATATGGCCACAGAGGCAGGAAGCTGTGTGAGCAGCAGCACAAGTGACTGTCAGCATTTCCTATGGGAATCAATTGCTGAGGCAGGACTGCTTCAGAGAAGCTTGGGGTGAAGTTTCAGCCTAATATTCAGCCTACGACCCACTCCGATCCAAGACTGCCTTATTTACACTGTGAATAAAACAGACCTCCAGGTAGAAGATGCCTGGAGGCGGGATCACTGTTTCTCCTTTACCAGAGAGCAGAGGCACAGAGCTCTGAGGAATCAGCTAGTTTGTGACAAGAGGCAGGCAAGGGGTGACAAATCTCCTGGTAGGGGGCTGCCTTTTGGTAGTTTCGTGTAGCTCCATCAGCACATAAACCCGGTCTCTATCTTTTAAAATTATAACATTATTAGAGATATGTGATTGTGAGATATCTGCACACCTGGCTTGGGTCTGGAGAGCCCATGAAATGTGATAGACTTGTTATTACTTGATTATTCCTTTGCACAGGTGTACGTTCCTGCTCCCAAATGCTTCTGAAATGTCCCTGCTGATGTGTACAGCCTCTCAGCATTGAAGGCTAGAGAAAGCCCCTTGATATATTACAACTCATCGCGTGCCATTGCCCCTGCATTAAATGCACTAACTTGTTTTTGAAAACATCAAAAAAAAAAAAAAAAGACAGTATCCACTTTGTGTCTTGAAAGTTAGCCTTCGGCCACTCTTGCTATTAAAAAAACCCCACCTAAATCCTCACTTGGGTTTGTTTGACGTCAGCTTGCAGATAGCCATTTTTCTCTGAAAGATTAAAAATGTCATCAGTATCCAGCAGATACTTCCAGACAGATCTTATAGATACTTAAATACTTACACATTATACTCATGTCATGTCTCAGTCTTCTTTTCAGTAAGCTAGGCAGATTGAGTGCTTTAAGTCTTTCACCATTAAGCACTTTCTTCAGCCCTGAAATCCTCTCTGTGTCTCTTTTCTGCACCCTCTACAGTTTTCCAATGATCTTTTAAAAGTGCGAGCACCAGAAACCGCATAATCTTATATTGTCTGTATTAAACCCAATTGTGTTTGAATGGGCTCAGCTCATCAAGCAACTGAGATCACTTGGAGTGTCATTCTCATCATTGTCTGTCACTCCACCAATGTTCCTGTCATCCTCAAATTTATCAGCTGTGAATTTACAGTGTTTACATGCAAATCACTGAAGAAAACATTGACTAGCATCTGACCTGATGCCGATCCTGGTAAAACTCTCCTGTTTGATAATGCTTCCTGATTCATAGCTACTTTTTAACAGGCTGTTAGCCAATTCCTAATCTAATTAGTGCATGCTCTGTTGCTATTTCTAATGTTTTTTGATCAGAATATCACACAGTGTTAATTCTAATCTCCATAAAAAATGAATATCACATCTCTTCATTGACCTTTATCATTCCGTCTTTACCTTCATCATATTATTTGATGCGCCTCATCAAAGAAAGAAATTGGGTTTGTCTGATAAGGCTTATTTCTCCTAAAACTGTATTTACCATCATTAATTATATTTCCATTTTTCATCATTTCAATCCCATGGCAGCTTTTCCAATATACAGTAACAGCTGATGATGTGCTAGAGGCCTGTCTTTGAGGTCAGTATGTGTGTTATCAACCCAACCAAAACAGTTCAATTCTTAAACCCACTCTTTGAAAACTGGTATGTTTCATTGTAGTGGCTTGCTGCTTATCTACATTTCTGCATCATCAGGTGATTAAAAACCACTACTTGCCAGGCTGCTTTAAGCATAAACGGTGAAAAAACCTACAGCAGTGTGTATGTTCACTCCTAGTCCTGGCCACTGTTTTCCAAGTGTTTCCCAATGACCGCTGGTACAGAAATCGTTAGAACCTTAGACTTCCAGAGAGCGCTACACGCTTTCTGAAGCATGCCTTAGAAGAACACCATGAAAGGGACGATGATGAAATATCAGCTATCATGTAACTATCTATAAATGTTAGATTTCTACAAAGTGATTTCACTGAATTGTAATTAAGGGTTTGAAAGTCGAATGATTTTAAGTGCTAGTTTTAATTACCGCTTGGTGAACTTTAGTGTGTTAGAATTGTCACAACTTTCCTTTAGAATTAGTGTCAAGCCAGGCAATACAGTGGGAAATTATTAACTCATACTTTGGTTCAGCAATTATCTGCATTACAAGGTTTATGCAATTAGCTGTTTAAGATGTCATTATATTTTGCCATCTGGTACACAGGAGTTTATGCATATGAACAGGCACGTGTTGAAGTGATTTTCACTATATGACTCTTGATCTCAACCCAAATCATCACTATAATGAGTGGAAGACACAGTGTACAGTACATTAGTGGCAGGTGCATACTATCAACTTCATTTTAATAGAAGACTTTCATGTTTCCATTTTTAAAGTATTCTGCACAAGTGCTGAAAAATTAATTGCTCGTTTGCAATTTAGCAAAAACTGAGGACATGTTATTGCTAAATGCTAAGGAACATCAGTTTTCAGAAGAGCGGCCACTAATTTAAGTTCTTCCCATCTGTAACTTCAGGCCAGTTTCTGCTCCAGACAATAAGAAAGTCTCACTGAAGTTCAGCTTAAAATGTTCTCTCGTTTCATGGTGAACATGCTGAATTACCTTTGATAGTCTCACAGCACTCAAAGCCTCCCGAAGCTATTGCAGAGAAAGCTGCAAGGATGCCTTAAAACTCACCTGTGGTATGTCTCTGTGCAACAACCTACAGTGTCACAGGTCTCTGACGGCATGCACGGTACTGTGACCTCTGAGTCCTTGGTCTTGCCTCAGTCTGTCTGACGTCACTTTTGCCTGTTGGCTCACGTTTGGTACGCAGATTTCAAATCTGGGGAGAAAAGGTATTGCTGTGGGCAGCCCACCACAAGGAAATCCTAGCTTCCAGGCGGTACAAAATGTAAATATCAATAACGACAGCACGTCATACTTGGATAATACTTGGTATTTCTGACGCATACTGCGTCTGGTGTTCTAAAAATATTCACAATCTTTAATTAATTAAATTGCATGCAGCTATTAACCTCATTTGACACAAGGAAACTGGTCTCTGGAACTGTAAGAGACCTCCTCGGTCACAGGAAGGCTGCGCAGAGACTGAGAGCGAGCCATTGGTGGGGACTATACTCACTGAACTGCAGTGCAGACTCCCAAAACGGGGCTGCAGCTGCAGCACTGTCATTTAGCTGTAAAAGTAGGTGTAATGGTTTAGGGAAGGACAAGGGTTTGGCATCAGGGAACGGACAAGATAGCTCCCACTACCTCCTCCACCAAGCTGGACTAAGTGCTAAATGGGGGACTGCCCGCGGGACAACGCAAATCACGTCTGTCTGCTGGCAAATCACATTTCTTGGGGATATTTATTATTTTGGGTTCTGGTATTACACTCTGGATACTCCCCACGCCTTGGGGCAGCAGTGGTTGTCTCAGAGGGGTAGAAGGCGCCGTCCCCAGGCCTGCTTCCAGCCACGGCCCTGGCGCGAAGCAGGGGTCGGTGCTGCGTCTCCATGTGCAGCTGCTGCAACTTCATTATTGAATTACATTAACAGGTCGCCCTCTAGTGTCATATTTTATTACATGGGTAAAAAAAAAAATGGGCCAGGCGGGTAAAATTTTTGTATTTTCACTTAGCGAACACCAGCAAGCAAGTCAGTCACAGAAGCAGCCACCGAACATTTATACGGCCCATGTGGGAAGTCCTCTGCCAGGCTAGAATCCCAAAAATTTGGTACAAAGGGAGATTTCTACTGAGGTTCAGGAAACCGATCCCAGAAGGCTCAAGAAAAATATAATTCAAATATGTGCATGCATGCACGGAGATGCAGAATTTGCCTGCACTCTAACATCAATATTAGTATTTCCGTGGGTGGTTATACCAACGCAGTGGTATATACGTGCGTCTATACCTCTAACGTGAAAGTGTTTCATCCTCTCCTATGTTCATCAATGTCATTCGGGGAAATACCAGGAAAAGTCATTCACGGCAACACTGCCAGTGCACGGGGATCATTTCCATTTTTGGCTAAAACCAAAAAGGTCATAGACATAAGGTAACAGGCAGTGGTCATCTGGGAATTTGCAATGTTTTACAGTTAAAACCAGAAAACACTAACACCGAACAACCAGATAAATACTTTTTTTTGCTCTGAAACCCTTACTGGCATTAGTGGTCATGCTAAATAAACTCCTCAGAGCTGCCCTTCCTGGGCCAGTTAGGAAGGGGGAAGTGGGACTAAGCACATCCACCCCTAAGACCACCGGCAGGCCAGGCCAAGCCAACAGCTGGTGTAAATTAGCATGTGAAGGGAGTGCAAGTCCATCCATTTACATCAACCAAAGACCTGTCCTTGCGTATTAATGTTCCCTGACGCTGAAGCCCCCTGCCTGTCTTCCACTGTACTGAGCATATTTTGCCTCCCATGGGAGATCCCCTCTGTCTCGTGAAAAGGCATCCTTTCCTTTAGGTAAATAGAGGGAAGCACCTCAGCGCTAATGGCAGTGTGCTGGGACACACCCCTTCCCCCCC